AAAAATCAAATGAGGGGGAGAATGAGGAGCTAATAACAAGGGCATAAATAGAAACTAAATGTTTATAAAATAGTGATGGCAACATATATACAAATATGCTTGATACAATTGATGTATATAAGAGCTGTAAGAGCCATCAATAAAATGATTGTTTAAAAAAAAAAAGGTAAAAAATTAATTGGTCTTTAAATGCTTTAAAAAAAACCCATGCCATTCACTCCTTCCCAATTAAAAAGTGGGTGAATCAGAGGGCAGAACGTTGTGACCGTTGTGTGTAAATTTATAATTTCAGGTAAAACTGCTGGGACACGGACAGTCACTTAACTGGACTTTTTGGGAACAAAGTGGCTTTGTGGTAAACCTGCCACAGCTCAGCATCGGTCAACTTCCCTGTAAGTGGGGCTGGGCTCTGGCACTGAGCCATGTGGTCTGATGGGCAGCAGGCTCCTGGACAAACACACTTGAGTACAAGGAAGAAGAAAATGTTCAAGAATTGATTGTGGTGATGATTGTACAACTCTTCTTGATAGGACTGAATTACTGAAGTGTATAGCATGTGGATGAAGAGCCAATAAAACTGTTAAAAAAAAGCAAAATAAAGCACACATGCCACATTGGTCAAAGAAAGTCATTATTTAGGTAAACCACCCCTTTCCTGGCTCAATGATCTTCACAATGACCCATGTTCCCTGGTCTAACTTTCTACCACACTTGCGCTTTGCCACCTAAGTCTTTCATAATGAACTTGTTTCAGCTTGTGGCTCAGAGCAGGGAATGTTTTCAGAGTAGCTAGGAATTGGTGGTCTATAATAAATTTGGCTTAGTTATATTTCCAATGGTTCTGGTCATTGTCTTTTTATTAAAATTTATCTTTTAAAAATAAATAAAATGTATCATTTCGCAGTAAATATTTTGAAATATATAGAATACTCAAAGAAGAAAACAGAAGGTTCAGGTAAACTCACCATTCAGTTAACTGCTTGTAGTATTTTAGTGCAGATTCTTTCTGGTGTTGTTTCCTTTTTCCCCTTTTCTTGGTGGGGAGAAAGGATTGACGACATGGAGGTATTTTTGTAAAGGGGCTAATTTAAGGTTCAATTGAAATTTATGAATTTCCTTATAGTATTTGCTTTTAATCAATTAAAACGGAAAACCTAGGTGAAATGGACACCTATTTAGATCTCTTCTAACGACAAAGCAAAAGTGATCCTAATTTTGATATAGATTTAAAGAAAACTGATTAAACATCTACTCCAATCCGAGGTGATCCATCAACCTGGCTTTATCATTGTTTGAAGGGCTACAGGTTCACATTAACCACCGGCAGACAAACAATTTTGTTCTCCCAAATGCTTCCAATAGAGCGTCGAATAAAACAAGCCATCGTATCCTTAAATCATGCTGAAGTTTAAAAACTTAAAAACAAGCAAACAAACATAAAGACCCTCAAACACCAAAAAACTCTTATTCATTTTTGAAGTTTCTACAACTATCGGAGTTTTGAAGCCACCAAAAGTATTTATGTGGATACTTTAATAGCCTTAAATCCCAAATGAACAGTTTATTAGCTATCCAATCTGCAGGTTTTTATATGATTCTACGTATTAGATGATAAACAGAACAAAGCAAAGCCCCAAATAGAGTTAGAGGAACTTTAATACAAAAGTAGATCACCTTTTTGCTTGAACCATGTGTTTTTTAAATTCTGACCACCTTATCTTTACCTTTTCAAATTGAGGAAAGGGACAAAAAAGAAGCATTTGGGTAAATTACCTCTAGGTACGGGATTAAATGAGTATTTGTAAGTGGAGGGCAAAGAGTTCGACATCCAGTTAAGCACTGATAGAAGACTCAGCAACCAATGGATCCTTTTATCAGTCAATGCCCCACTTCAAATCCAAACCCACCACCACCGAGTTGATTCTGAGGCATAATGATCTTATATGGCGTAAGCTCACACACTTCTTTGGTCTACCACTCATTTTTAAGGGAAAAATTACTCAGCTTCCTCTTGGTAATTACAAACTTTGTACTATAGCCCATAATACAGGATAAACTGTAGAGTCTGCTTGTACAGCTCCCTGGATTGTTGCAGCGCCCCCAGGGGGAGGACTCATACATTTTGTGGCACCCTGCTTACCTAGTTTCCAAGACATAATCTTTACAGGAGCAGACAGCCTCAGTTCTCTCCTGTCAAGTGGCTGATGAGGCTGAATCGTCAACCTGTGGTTAGCAGTCCAATGCTTGTCTCATGGCATCACCAGGGCTTCCCAGGTTTCAGAATCAGTAGAAAACCACTGTTTGATTTTCAGTAACTTGATTTGCATTTAAATTGAGAAATACTTATGATAAACTATGCCAGATTATCAGAATAAACTAGACATGATGTTGCTTTTCCTGTTTTAAATATAGCCATCATTTTCATAAACTTATATCATTTTCCTATGAATGCCATATTGAAGCAATACAATTGCTCCGTAAGGGAAGCTATTCAAATCAGTACGTATTAGGACAAGAGGTCTTCGGTCTTTGCTCTCTGTCACATGCTCCCTTGGTTTATGCCTTTCCGGGCTGGGACGCCTACCTCTGCTCTGCCTCACAGTCTCGCATTTTAAGCTCAGCTCCTGCGCGCTGTCTCAAGGTCTCTCTGCCTCACCTGGCTCCTTTGCTCGGGTCCATGACCTCTGTGCCAAAGCTTTTGGTGTCACCATCACTTCAGATAGGGATTGTGATCTCGAATGTGCTCCACTTCTAGTGGTCCTGTGATTTCTCTCTGTTCCTACTTCGGAGATAGTTCTTATACACAGAGCAATGGCTGTGATGGTGATGTGGTACAGTGAACCCTCGTTTATCGCGGTTAATCGGTTCTAGACCCTACCGTGATAAATGAAATTCCGCGAAGTAGGATTCCTTAT